GTAAAGTTGAATGGAAAATTTTTCAGAAATATCCTTATTTTTCTAGAAAAATTATTAATGAATATTAACATCTTTAGTAATATCTGTGGCAAATGATAGTGACTGTATTCATTGCCCCTTTGGCTTACATGTTATTCAATTATATGCTTAGTTGTTCTCAGCTTAGATTAATGGTTAGAATTCCAAAGGCATTAAGGCAACTCAGTCATCTGTTAGGCCAGTCATGTGCTCATACCTCATGGAGGAGCTTAAAGTCAGTGAACGCAAAGGGGAGAATGTTAGGCCTGTGTTTCTGTGTCACTGAGCAGAGATTCAGTCAAACATACCATTGCTATTTCTGGGCAGAATATTTGAAGTTGAGGTCTCAGATAATGTGGTCTCCAATACAATGTGCTATTAATTTCCTTATTGCATTTTTGAAACTCTATAATATATTTCAAATACCAGTGCAGGGCCAGTTAACAATATTTGATTTTGTTTATTGAAATTTTCTCTTGATAAGTTAATATTAACGCATTTAAAGTATTTGTTTCGTTTTCTTTTTAATCCTCACTGGAGGAGTGAGGATATTGTTTCCATTGATTTTTTAGAGAGCGGAAGCAAGCAAAAGGGGGAGAGGAGAGAGAAGTATTTATATGAGAGAAACACACGATTGGTTGTCGCCCCCCCACACCCTGACTGGGGTGGGATTCAAGCTGTACCCTTCCAGGTCAAGATGCAGGTGCCCTTGACCTGGCATCAAACCGGCAACTCTCTGCTGCTCAGGCTGATGCTCTAACCACTGAGATCACCAGTCAAGGCTAAAGTATTTATTTTGCTGATGATTTACTGGTATATTCTGCTTGTTTTAACAAATGACCTTGTAAGATTTCCCTGTAGAGAAACTCTCAGCTACATGTATGGTAGGCGTCAAAGTAAAATAATCAAAGATACTTGTATTTAGAGCGCAATTATTCCACTCTAAATACAAGTACCTTTGATTATTTGTTGTGTAGTTAAAATTATTGTGCTCATTTCCAAAAGTTATA